ACCATGTGTGACAAGGGTTTTTATGATGGAGTATAGCTGGCAATGTCCAACGGCAGGTTTTCATGGAGGCACATGTGGCCTAATAGGCCAATGTGGTGTTTGCATGTGCGTGGAAATTGCAGACAGTTGAGTCGGATGCCGCGGGTGCATATTTGGTGCTCCCGGTACTTTTTTGCTACTCTCTGTGCGATGGATTCCCAAGTAAACGATCAGGCTGATGCGTGAAATGAGGGTAGGATAGGTCGGAGGGTACGGAGAGAGCGGGGGTTCTGCTGCTGGTAGTGGTGGTGGTTGCGGACATAGGAGGGTTAGGGCTGGAATTGTTGACATGCTAGGCGTAGCGGCATCGTGGTGGCTACCATGGCGTCCAGTTCCGAAAAGATAGTCACAGAAACGTCCAATAAAAGGCTGGAAACTGCAAGTAGGGTTTTGTGTCGTTGTAGGTGGCTGCTAGAGATCTTAGAACTGACTCATTTCACCTTGTCATATGTACAAATGAAGCGTTTCTCCACAACTTCCGCAAAGTCCATGTGTTCATATCGAACACTTTTCTTCGGATACATCAGAATGTTTTATTCACACAATCACAGAGTTCGGTTGTCTACAAACAAACTCACTCGGTAAGGGTTCCTTGTAGGCAACATCGTAGTTTACTATAACATAACTACCTACTTATTTCGTTCTAGCTCATTAAGTTTAGTTTAGTTTAGATATTAGTCTATTATTTAGTTTTACTAGTTTTCGTTAAGTTTATTTTAGTTACTTATGTTATAGTAAACTACGGCGTTGCTTATAAGAAACCCTTGCCACCAAAACCGATCAAAAATGACAAAATAGTTAGTACGCAGTTTTCTCTCATTTTTCGATGCCTTAACAAGTGCAAATATATTTTATAAAAAGCATGCAATAAGATACACTTCTTGTAATCATTTATTGGCAAATTTACATCTTATTCAAATACCGTTCTAGAAGAAACGATAACTATCAGTTGAAAACACATTCTATGCATTTCCCTATTACTTCTTAACTGGTTCTAAAGTTGTATTTAGGGGGCAGATCTGGCCACACCAACTACCTGCGCCCTCTTCCGCTTCCAGGCTTCTTGATTTAGTCCTGACATCAGACCCGATTGGGGAAGGGAGAGAGAGAGGGAGAAAGTGAGGCAACTGCAGTGCAAGTCTACTCTCACTTTAATCTAATGCCCATCATCAGTCCCCCCGCGTTCTTCTACTCTGATGTGAAGTACGTGGCGATCCTCATCGGATACG